GTTCAAAACAAGGTTTGATTTTTTTTGTAGTTAATTTCTCACGGATAATTTACTAGTAGTATTTCTCATAAGCATAGGAAAATAATAATGTTCGCAATGTGTAAATGCAATTTTTGAAATTAAAATACACCGAAAAACTCTTGGAAATGTTATGCTTTCCAGACTGGGATAGCACTGAAGATAATCTACATGTACGTTTGAATTATTGGAATAGTTTTTATCTTAAGGTTTACTGTTCGTCAAACACCTACACCAAAAGTGAGGTGTCGAACGAGGAACGTTACACACATTATATACTTGTTTGTTTGTTTTGAATTTCGCGCAAAGCTACACGAGGGCTATCTGCGCTAGCCGTCCCTAATTTAGCAGTGTAAGACTAGAGGGAAGTCATCACCATCCACCGCCAACTCTTGGGCTACTCTTTTACCAACGAATAGTGGGATTGACCGTTACATTATAACGCCCCCACGGCTGAAAGGGCAAGCATGTTTGGTGTGACGGAGATTCGAACCCGCAGATTACGAGTCGAGCGCTCTAACCACCTGGCTCACATTATATACTACTTACATAAACATTTTGATGTTATTCATGGATTTATACAAGCTCACAAACTGAAACGTATAAATAAAATAACCCCATCTATAACATCTTAAGCTCATAATCTGATGATCTCTATCTGTTTATTTTTCATTTGAAAGAAAAGGTGCAAATAAAGTAATTACCCTAACATCCATGACTAACGCAGGAAATAAGTAACGAAAAATAACACGTCCGTTAAAACATTTCTGTAATACAGCATTGAATAGCGTCTCGTTCACCTACTTAAAGAAACATGTTTTTAGCAACCTCGATAGACAACTATAAACTGTGTTGCAAATAACTAGTTTTCCTAAAAGTCATTTAAAGAACTGTACATGTGACATCCTCAGACCTTTAGTTTGGCGTCAGTACGGGTCACTGGTGTCATTACGATTTGAATACCCACTGTTTTCACACACCATGTTATAAATTATTTATACATCTTCCTAAGCTTGGGCTCGGCATGGCCAGGTGGTTAGGGCGCTCGACTCGCAATCTGCGGGTTCGAATCCCCATCACACCAAACATGCTCGCTCTTTCAGCCGTGGGAGCGTTATAATGTGACGGTCAATACCACTATTCGTTAGTAAAAGAGTAGCCCAAAAGTTCGCAGTGGGTGGTGATGACTAACTGCCTTCCCTCTAGTTTTACACTACTAAATTAGGGACGGCTAGCACAAATAGCCCTCGTGTAGCTTTGCGCGAAATTCAAAACAAACAAACAAACAAATCCTAAGCCTGCTATTCTGAATACTTTTTACAGTAACATATAAAAAATAAGCTGTCTTTCTAAAACTTTAAGACATAAAACAGGAAATAAATAATTCCAAGAAATGAGTTTTCTGTTAATTTTATATCTTTCTGAAAATATATTGTGTTTGAACCAAATTGGGTAAGCGATAATTGAGTTTTACTATTTCATTAAACTATCATAATAATTATTTTCTTTTGTTATTTTCAACCGAAGACCATCTTATGTGGCACATTGGCTAAAAAGCCAGTCAGAGATCCCTAGGTTCTGACATAACCATTCCCAATTTAAAGTTTCTGACCAGAGGAAGGTCAACCAGTAAAGCAGCACTTGCCACCTACTCTAGACCAAATAACACGATTGATTATTATTTTTATAATGTACTCAAAAGCTGAAAGAATAAAGCATATTCAATGGCACACAATGAACTCGAACCTTAGACCTTTTGATCTGCAGCCCAGCAAGCTAATTGTTGGGCCATGAATGACCTATTTCTCACGAGATAATAAAATGTACTGTAATGTGTCAGCAATTTATAACTTTTGTTACTCCAAGTGTCATTACATCTTTATTACTTGAAAGTTTGCTAATACAAAATGTAAAAACAGCTATAAACACAACTCGTTAAAGAAAACTAAAACTATAAATTTTTTTTTTCTTTGGAATAATGTCAATGACTACAATCACTTATGGCATTCTCTAAGAGATTTTCATGTTGGCTAACTATTCCCTGGACTACAAAATTTTACTTCAGGAATAACTGAATAAAAATTACGCAAATACTTTACCTTTCTATATATATAGTTGCTTACTTAAAAATTTCCTTTAATACAAAACAATCATATGGATTTATTACAAAACATGTTGTTAGTCAAAAAATTTAATTAACTCCTAAATTTTCTTTTCATTATTCTGAAATGAGACTTAATTTTTTGTTTTTTTTTCCCTTTATAAATCATTATGGGTGAGTCAATGAAGCAGTAGTGACTGTTAATATATGCTCATAAATAAACATCTATAACTGTAGATAAATATCTGTCATTGGTTCTGCTATGAGATATAATGACAAAATTTATCCTTACCACAACATTATATGGTGTTATTATTTAACTCACATGAAGATGATGAAGTCAATACAACAGCAACAGCTTGGATTAAGTCAATCCAACAGCAACAGCTTGGATTTTGGTTTCAGTACAAATTGCCATACTGTTGTATTAAAGATTTTTGTACATTGAAAAAAAAATCAGTATCTAACAACTTTGGTTTACGGATATAAAGTTATCTGTTTTTCAGATGTGGATATGGGTTCTCAAGAGAAAATGTGTTAAAACAACTTTAATATGAAGGCTTATAAGATATTAACTTGGCTTCTTCAGAAATCTGACAGTAGTTATTTCAACACTTAAAATTAACATATTAGTTATATTATAAAGATTTTTTTATTTCCAAAAGGTGAACTAAAAACGTTTCATATACCTTCACAGACTGCAAACTAGACCTTATGTCTACAGAATAGATGAACAACTTTATAAAATAAATCTTTCATGTGCAATATCAAACCATAAAGATGAGCTTCAGTCTTTGAAATGGCACAAAAGCATTAGTATCAAACACATTATTATTCATTCAAAACTGAGACCCCCTTACCAACTTAAAATAAAGAAGTAAAAAGTTTAACATCAGTTCCAGGCTTCATCACATGAATACAATTAAATACAGTTGGCCACCTTTCAAAAACTTTTGTGTTATAGTTTTGTATTTTTGTCTTAAATTGATTTTTTAACATATGTGTTTTCCTATCATGAATACAAGTAAAGGGAGTTTGTATTAAACAAAAGAGACAAGTTCAAATTAAGACATTTGAAACTACTATCATACAATCTAAGTACGTCATAAGATAAGGTTTTTAATAATACGTTTTTTAAATAAATATAAGATCCACCCTGAATTACTTTTTACTGGATTATGAAAATAGTGAAATTATCAGTAATACAGAATAAAAACTTCACTTGTTTTCTTACATCTAAACAGTTACAAAAAACACAATATGCAATTTCCACTACTTTACAATGACAGACATGACTGTTGAATCAATTTCTTTTTAACTATCCATGTAAAAGCTGTATATACAATTCAAAATACTTTACTACTTTGACTCGTGAAAATAGTCTTTCACATTGTGTTAGAAGTTACAGAGAAAACATATAGAAATTAGTGTATTGTCGGTGAAAATCAATGACGATATCATTGTTTACCATTAGATTTAAGACTGAAACAAATATCTATAACTACAGGTTCTGTCATAGTGATAAACAAATCTGCATTTTCCTTTAGATAACACATGAACAACATTTAAGTTTTCAGTTTGTGTACTTTGATAAATTATTGTGATATGACTGTTTAAATAAAAGGTTCTTTTATTTGGAGTTATTAATGACGTATTCATACCATCAAGCCTAATGTGTTTAAATACTGAAAGAAATATTGTTTATTATATGACAGGTTAGGTTCTGCACTAATAACCTTAAGGTTTAGAATTATAGAATAAACAAATGTTCAATTCATCAAGGAATAATCACGACAAGATAGTATCTGAAATGTTACATTTGTTATTAAAATAAACAGTTTCATTAGATAAGACATTTTTATGACACACATGACATTACAACACTAGTAGTTGATATCATCCAGTGGTTTTAATTTAAAAAACACTCAAAATTGATGACTAACCAATTAATCTTAGCTACAGACAAAAAGACTGAGAAACATATCAGAGAATTAATCAAAATTATGAAATCATGCTTATTCTTATGCCTAACAGGTGAACACTGTAGGTCTTATTTCAAATTAATATATTTTTTTTTTACAAATTGACTTTTTACACACAGTTTGGTACCTACTGAGCAAATGTTTAATCTTGGTCAGATTTTTATACAGATAAAGAGCAATTAGTGCTGCCATCTAGTGATATAACGAGCCTTAGTTATAATTTTATATTGTTTTACCATTGTATAAAGTACAAAGAGTAAGAAGAGAAGCAAATATATTTTGTATGGTTGAGGTAAACGAAGAAAAGAATAAAAGCCATGACTTTTCTTTTTGTCTGCACTACAAGTGTATCATATCTAAAAGCTCTGTTAAGTTTGGGATATTACAATGTCCAAAGATAAAAACTAGCAACCAGAGATGGGTATAAGTGTTTTAAATAGTTAAATTAATGAAATGTATATGCTTTGACAAACATAACTACCAAAAATGTCATGAATTTGAGGACTAGACAGTTAGATTTAGACTATCAATCTGTTAATGAAGTCAGCTGCATTCAATGCTCAACATGATACTAATTGACTATAAAAAAAGTGTACACATCATAACTCTATAGTAAACTTAGTTAAACATAAAGCATACCAACAATTTTCAGTTATTTAAGCTATAAAACTTTCCCCAAAACTCAATACCTTTCATGTACCAACCCAACCGCTCGTAGTAGAAGATTTGATAATAAATGACTATTAATTATAACCTAAAATAAACTTGCATAAATTAACAAATATATGTCAAATAATGACAATATAATTACTGCAAGAAACTAGATAAAACTCAATAAAAATGATTTCAAATTAACATTTTACTGAAACAAAAATCGATGATGACAATTGTTAAGGCATTACAGAGAGTATTCATGATGGCTGTATTCCTAGTATCTTCTGACTTGAACAACCAGACTTGCAACTATTTTTTAGTTAATAGTTCTTGAAAACAGACAAAAAGAAAAACTTTAATTTATAGTAACACAAAATTTCATACAATTACATCACAATCATTGTAACAAAGTATTTAGTGTTGATATTATAAAAATACAAAAAAGGGAACTCAAATGCAAATGACCAACAGTAAAATATTAATTTCAAATTGAAACATTTAAACAAAGCATGATGACAAATAGAAATCTTTTAAACACATTTTGTAACAACATTTTAGAACAGATTAAATATTGCTATCTTTGAAAAAAAAAAAAGATATATATCAGAAGATAAAGGAAAATACATTTGATTAGTTTACAAATTGACTAGAAACGTAACTTTCAATTATATAAATAAAATTACACATAGATATGAGTATATCTTATTTACCATATCTAAAATTCTTCACTTGTTTAGTAATGGTCTGGAACACCAATCTGACCCATTGTTTTGAGGTCTGCAGCCACCTGGTGTAATAATGAAAAATTATTAGAATGCTTAAGTGTAACTGTAATTTCAGTATTTCACATTTACAGTATGCAAACGTAATTTTCATGCATATGTAACTTTCAAAAGAAAAATCTTATATGCAATAATTAGATAAGTGATTAACAGGTTTGAAAAATTAAAAGATATAATTTCATTTTATCAGAAAACATAAATTGTTTTATTCTTTTTATATACCTCTGTACATACTAGCATGCACTGGCTTTCTGACAGATTAACTAATTAAGTAACAAGTTTCATAAAATATTTATAAGTACATCTAAAATAGCTGAACTAAATTAATTAATAATAAACTCACAAGAATAAAGTATCCTGAAATAAGTTGGATCATTTTTATATTCACTGCGTTCAGTAGCAAGAATTTCAGGAACATTTAATCATTGTCTATAGTCATAATTAAAAGTAAATAAAAAAATTAGATAAAAACTATAAAAGGGGAATTTGAAAACTCATAAGAAAAACAAGCATATATTCAACCTAATGAATCTCTCAAGTGAAAAAAAAGGAGAGTGACCATTGAGAGAAAGCATTATCTGCAGCAAAACACAATAACAAGGTATAGTTGAAATGCTGTTATCAGGAATGATAAGGTAGGTAGCAGGCCCCCCTAGTGTAGAGCTATGACCCCCTACAGCTCCTTCACCTAAGATTTAGCCTGTTAACATTTTTAAATTCCATACACTGTGACTCCCACTGAAATTAAAGTGTTAAATTTTTGCTGTAACATATTTTTGAATAAATCATTTAATATTTTTATCAATACACGTGCAATAAAATTTACTTCCTTAGCCTTAACCAAGAAAGAGCTCTTACCTTTACATCCTGAAGTACTTCCTAAGTTACAAATTCTAAATATTTTTGTAAATGGGATTTCGAATAAATATATATATATATATATATAATATAAAACAACAATATAGTAAAGGACGGAATAAAAGTGTGAGTAAGGAACAAAATAAAGAGAGACTTAAGGGAAAACCACGGACCAAGAAAGATTGTAAAAAATGCCGAGGCTTACTAACAAGCCTGTTAACCAAATAAGGGTGAGCCAAGCTCAAAAAATATTACTTGAGTTAACTAAAAATACATTCCATGCCATGACCTAAGAAACTAGCAGTTATGCTTATTAGCATCAGACAAACACGACGCCATTAGAGAAATCAAAAACATTGGACACCATAGTAGAAAAAGTGAGTTTATTTAAAAAAAACCTTGAATTGAAGTGACAAGTGGAAGAGTATATATGAAAAGACCACCATCAATCGGGATATAGTGATATGTTTGGATTTAATATACTCAGAGCTTTATGCCAACATCAACAAATAGTGGTCACGAGATAGTTACATCCAAGCCAATTAACAAGTAGTTACAGTTTTGTTTTGAGAAATATTACAGATGCACCAATCAAATTTAACGGGCAACTTGTGCAAGTAGTAGGTACCTCAAACTTGTTAAGACCTCAAAAGGACACAGAAAAATGGATATAAAAAGCTGTGTTTTTCAGTTAAGAAAGAGTTCTCCAGCTGATCTGAAACTGTCTAGGGAAATTGCTATGCAAGAATGGCCATTCTTCATAGCATCACCAACATTAGCCACACAAACTTCTTGTAAGTAGATGATATCAATGCTATCTCTGATGTAGTCTAACACTGTTTAATTTTATTAATAACATACGATGTCTGAAGAGAGAAAAGCGAAAAACGTTACTTGTATTGAAGATTTAGTAACGCTAGTAAACGATATCACAGACTTGCTAAGAGATATATCAGAAGATTTGATATCGCAATTATATAAGAAAAACTATGACCGAAGGAATTGCTCATGTGAATATAATAGATAACTTGTTCATTGTGAGATATGTTAATGAATATAACAGAGGGATTAATATGAAACAGATTGATATTCTAAATGAAGAGTTCATTGTGAGATATGTTAATGAATATAACAGAGGGATTAATATCAAACAGATTGATATTCTACATGAAGAGTATGATAGTTTCAATGTTGATTCATTTCATAATAATTTTGAAAGTTTGGATGTAAACGATCATATTAACACTGTGTATTAAAGATATTTTGTGTTGTGCTCAAAACCATCTCTGAGTGAATTTCTTTATTCCAAATGTAAATCTCCTCAAATTGGAGGCTTAACTGCATAACTTGGTATCAAACAAATATTTGTAATGGGTGCTAAGTCAAACTTAAATGACTATGCCTCAGAAAAACTGTCCATTACAGTCCTAACCACAATATAATTTCACTTCCAAGGCAAATCAAAAAGTTACCCAACTACGTAAACTTATTATTTTCTACTTTGTATATGTTTTACACACAACTGATATTAAAATATTTTCCTACTTCACAACATGACTGGGATGTGTAAAACAACACTGAGATTGTATCCTTAAATCCTACCTCAAATGAGCAAGCAGTGTTATCCACAACTTGTTGGACTTCAACACCTTCAGCTATTTCCATTAAAGTTAATCCTTTCTCTGTATCAACAGTAAATACACCCTGTAACAGGTAAAACTCAAAGTAAATACACACAAAAAGTGTAAGATGTAAAATCTATAGTAAAGATATCATATAAGTGTAACCAATAAAGATAAAAATCCACGATTGTAAAAACTCTTTCAGTTCTTAGCTTTGTTAGAAATGATGCATAACACTGAAACTTAAGCACTTTTTATTAATGACAAGTACATGGCCAACAAGTGAAATAAGTCACTAATACCTCTGAGGAAAATAAAACGTTTGGTGTGAGAATATTGTCAATATAAAGCAGCTGGTGTCAAAAACACACAGTAAGACCATCATGGATTTTATCACATAAAATTCATGATTACAATAAAACTTTCAAAGGTTATACTTTCATAATTTTCTGTGAATCCCTAAAAGCTTACTCACATTTGCTTATTGTAAAACAGCATTAAGTATCAATTAAGCTTCAATTAATAAGAGAAATTTAATACATTTTGTTATAATTTTTCTTCTTGTTAGTTCAGAATTTTTCAGCCCACAGCTTTAACTATGTTCACATTGAATATACATATATATCAGTTACATTTATGTTTGATATGTGCCTTTTTGATACTTAGAACATGGTACTGTATATCTGCCTTGATGTCTTCAAGAGAAAATTCACTGACTTTACTGACTAAGAATTTTTTGTTGGCATAATATATATGACTATAAGATGAAGTATGGAGAAAGATGAGGTGGTATTATTTCACATGTTTAGTAATACAATGTTTTGATGACATTATTACATGTATTACTAAATATGAACTTTCAATTTTAGATAATTGACCAAATAGTTTTAAACACTTCAAAGTAGAGGTATATACCACAGTTATAATGAGTTATCTCAGTTAAATAAAACCATCAGTGGTCAAATGAGCAAGCAACTGGCAATTAAGTAACCAGTGGTCAAGAAAGTGACCACAGGTAAATTATGATACTCATGTTTAAAATGATAATTATATATGCATTCCTAGTAGTGTAAGGACACATGGCTGTTTTTACTAATTTCTGACATAGAAAATAGAGGGAATTTAGACCCACCATCCTTGATCTGTGCTTATTTATATAAAATTAAATAATACAGTAATTAATCTCTGAAAAAAATGGGTGAGGTGGATCAGCTCTCCTAGATCCCCTACTATAGATTCACACATGCATATAGAACATTTTAAAATTATGGTTAATAATTGTTGAAAAAAAATGAAAGGGTCTGGATCCCTTGATCCCCTGTCTGCTTATACAGTTACACAATCAGAAGTTATAAATGTACCATAATGTGAAAAAACAGTACAAATTACACTGTTTAACAGTTAAGTAGCCAGAAAGTATGTGGTGGATGATAGTAGCCAATTGTCTTCCGTCTAGTCAGCAGTTCAAAATTAGTAACAGCCTTAACTTTACCAATAACAAAGACAGGATGAGCAAATTTAGAGGCAATGGGAATCAAACCTGTGACCCTGACATCATTATGTAGCTTAGTGCTTAACAATAAAAAAACATAATGGCAGTATTTCAATTTCATGAATAGTTGAATAATTGAAAAATAACTGGAAACTCTAAATTTTGAATAGTTAATTATTTCCATGACAATTGGTTTAATCATAATTTCAATTATTCAATTGTTGAAATAATCAAAAACTGCAAGAGTTGAAACTAACTTTGATTAACTGATTATGTTCATGACATTAATCAATTAATCATAATTTTGATTAATCAAATTAGTCTACACTAATCAATGTAATTAATTAAACTGCCAAGCTCTAGCAGTGAATGCTCGACAAAGTGTGTGTGCATTTATGAAACAAGTCTCATACCATTTTTTACCGATCAATGAGTTAGAAAATTTAAAAAGGTGGTGCATAGAATGCTGCACAATATTTTTGAACGGATTCTGGATCATTGCTGGATTTTGTGCAGGGACAAATTAGAGATCAGGAAAGTGGATACAAAGATCAAGGTGAAACCTCAAGATGCTTAAGAAAAAAAAAGTGTATTCATGCTATTTCATATGAAGACACACAGGTCAAGTTGCCATATGCAGTGACCATGGATTTCTGTGTGATTAGGCTGTTGAAATGGCTGTTGGGAAAACATCATCCTCATATACTAAATGGACTATGGAAAGCAGAGAGAGATGAGTGGTGTTCTTTGGATATGACAGCCTAACGACAAAGACTTTGGCAGTGGAAAATACAGTGCAGAGCTATTTTCAAGATACATAGTCATTAGACAGATCATGACTGCATGAGGCAACACTGCCTGTATAGAAGTGGTTAGGCTCAAAATTTTTTTAATATGGCATATCAATCCTCTGTACAGTAATTAAGTTATGACAAAGCCATTTTGACAAAATGTTGAGAAAACTAATCTGAATTAAAATAAAATAAGTTAGACTTTCTGAATTACAGCAGTGTATTATTATTTAAATATGTATATGTAAAGTTATCTTCTTTGTACTATAGGCAGGTCATAATGTTTCGGGCTAGGAATTTGTATCTCACAACATTGTTTGTTAGAATCCACAAGTAGTTCCAGCATGTGTTATGTGTAACATGTAGTTTTGATGAACAAACATGCACATTTATCTTCTTCCAAATAAACACTGTGGCTGAAATATACTCATTGTTATTAATGTTTTGGCAAAGTAACAATGAAACATATTTGCTAAACTAAGTTTTTACTGTATTTGGTGAGAAAGAGTTAAAACTCTTCTTGTTCATATAACTGAATTACTTACTAATTCAGTTATGATTAAATCCACACAGTTCTTTCCAGTCAAAGGTAAAGAGCAGGTCTCCATGATTTTGGCACTTCCTCCCTTCTCAGTGTGGGTCATGGTGACCACTACCTTTGTTCCTGCTGTGTGGCTAGACACTAAGTCCATTGCTCCACCCATACCTTTTACAAGCTTGCCCTGGAGTTGCAATACAATAAAAAAAGCACTGCTAAGCATGTTTTTTTTCTTTTTCAGTAGGAAAGGTTTCTAATATAAAGACAAAAATGTGAAGTCTGCAGGCATGCTCTCACATATTTTAAGATGTTGAATATAAACACAATTCTTTCAAATACAAAAGTTCAAAAAAGGTATATTACAAAACAAAAAACACTTAGAAATGTTAATAAGTACTCTTTAAAAATAGTCATAATTGTTATCTTTTATCTTGCAACTTTATTGCTATCAAATAATCATGGAAAACATCCTTGTTTTTTTTTCTACTTAAACTGTAAAATGTAGGTAGAATGTTATCAAAAGCTCTTTAAGCAGGTAAAAAATTAGAGAAAACCTACAACTTACTGGTATAAGCCAGTTAGCCAAATCTCCATACTGAGAAACCTGCATAGCTCCCAACATCGTTAGGTGGATATGTCCTCTGTGTACATTTATGGGAAATCAAACACTATTTTAATAAAATACCATGCAATAGTAAAAAATATATTACTCTTTATAATTATTTCTATTTACCAACATGCAAGAATAAAATATATTTCTGAAACTAAAAATGCAAAGACAACCAATATACAAATGAAATGTCAATGAAAACAATGGATTAAGTATTATATTTTTCTTCCTATTCATCTCTATTTTATTCAACAATAATTCATATTGATTATTGATTACAGACCTGGTTAAAAACGAAGATTCAAAATGCCTGCGGTAGTCCCCTTCAAAATCATGAACAAAATATTTTAATACTATGGTAACTAAATTTGATATACAAATTTATGTACTTACAAGGTAAATACTAATGTAAAGATTTAAAAAGTTTGTTTTTCATTCATTAAATTCACACCAAATTGAATTGAAATGTGGTATCACTAAAATGTTTTGAGTTGTCAGAATGAATAAATGGTTAAGGTTTTAATTATTAAATCCTTAACAAAGAACACAAATCAATACTTAGTTATATTTTATGTGAAATACAATTCATAAAATCAAAATAATACAATCAATTCCTGTGCTTATATCTAAGGGACTTCTAGCATACTGCAAAATATTAAGCTAATGAAAAATGTACTGAAGAATAATCAAATAACAAAGATCCCATATTAACATCTATTTCAAGTAAATTTGAGTTTAGTTAAAGTTTTTAGTAGATACAACTCATTTCTAAATGCTTATAAAAAATCCATCAAGTTTTGGATTTTGACAAACATCCTATCTAGATATAAAACAAATTGCTATTAAAGGTATCATTTGTATTTCTATACCAAAAAAACTGTAGTTTTACAAAATAAAATAAGCTGATATTTATTTCACAAATGATATTTCTATCCTTTTCATGAACCAAAGTTAAGCATTATCACAAACCTTTTAGATATTGAGACAAAAGAAATGTCTTATTGTGAACTGTACCCTAACAACATGTTATCTCCTTTTATAGAGAATGAAGAGTTTTGACACATCTTATTTCTTAACACTTGATTTGATATATTTTTGGCATCTGACAATTATATATTAGAAATCAGTACTGAACTCTACTTTTGTGAGCTATAGCAAACTTAAATCCTTACAAGATTGAAGAATCTGAAATTGCAAATGTGTTAACTTTTATCATCGTTATAAATATCTTACCCTCGAATCATAGCAAAGGATTCATCGCTGGAGAAAAAGGAAGATCCCTGAACCACTGTAACAGTCTCTTTCCCTGCATTAATCAAGTCGGCATCAACTTCACTTTCTAACGGATAAGGACCCTAATTAGAATTGAATATAAGAGTTTGAAATGTGGTAAAAAAAGGGGGTCACATGAATCCAATGTATTCCAGTAAACCTGTAAAAGTGTATATCTTTTGTTCCAAACAAAGACACACAAACCTGTTTTAAATATATTTTTATGTGTATGTAAATAAAAACTAGGTTTGACTAAGGCATAGGCAACCCTGGCCTCCTCTCACCAGTTTGCATTTGGTGATCTTACCATAAGTTGGCAAATAAATATCAAGTTTGCTAAAATTTTGGTAATTAAAAACATTTTATGAATATGGCAAAAACGTTTTTAATACTTTTCCACAAACAAACAAATCAATAAAAGTTATGTTTATAGCTATGTAATATTGGCCCAAACATGGTTCGTATGACCTGGAATATACAGGTATTTTACTAATAAAATTCCTCCAGGAACAAAACAAAAATGCATCATCAGTTCTTGTGACTGAAAGATTTTTCCAGGCCTATATTTATAGATCTCAGTTTTTGACAATAAAAAAAGTGATGGAAATATCAAAATGACTTAATTAATAAAAAAATTAATTGACTTTTTTTTTCAAACAAGTCATTTTGCTAGAAGTGTTAAGTTCATGACTTCAAATCCAATTAAAAGCATTTATTTTCATAAGAACCACACATCCCCATATGGTTATGTACGCAAGTCATAGAAATTTATGTGGTTTACTTTGTGAGGGGAAAGACAGTAGCATGTGTGTTAATGGTTGTATGCATACTAAAAAATTGGCATCTAACTACAATAATGTGCTCCTTGAATTAACTATCATTACCATTATTTGATGTGTATAAATGTTACATACAACTTAGCAATTTAACACACACTTTGATTTTTAAATCTATTAATCATTTTCTATAAACCATTCAACAAGTTTTATCTTAATCCAGCAAGGAAATAAAACATATGTAAAACACAATAAAAATAGTTCGAAATTTTTGGTTAAGTTGATAATGCATTAAATAGTTTGTTATCAACTTAACCATTAAGCAACACCAATATTTCTTTTTTAATAAATTTGAAATTATATCATTCAGTACACAGAATTTTTTATTTTGAGATTGTGGAAACAAAATTACAATTAAAAAAGGTGAAGTATTAGCTTTTGGGATTGAGATTTTATCAAACAGTAACATTAGTGAGTGTTAGAATAGGTCTTGGGTAATTTGAAGCCACAGTGTGTAATCTGTGGGGTGCACCCCCTTTGGAGGGCAAGGAGGGTTGGTAGGGGGTGTAACTATAACTACAGGAGCATATAATTTATATCTAAAAGTACTACTAGCCATGATGAACCTGCAATAAATAACCTTGGCTGAAATAAATTTTTTTTTTCATTACAAGTCTTTTAATTATTATCTGAACAGCAAAAGGTCATTTTCTTTTCTTATTGCTAAAATATACCCAATCAGGTGCAGGGAGTACAACAAAAAGCATGTTAAGAAGGGGAGGGTACCATAAAAAAAGCTTTCGCACCACTGCTTTAGTGAACTACATGATGTACGTCATTCAATGCTCTACTGTTGTTTTATGTAAACTACCAGTTTGAAGACAACATAATAATTAAAAACAAAGACTGATCAGTATTAAGTGTTATTTACTTCCTCCTGGTAATGAAATAATTTAATACATATAATTAAATTATTAATTAATATATTAATTAAATTAATAATATTGTAAACAATTACAAATTATCCTTGATTACCACATTAACCATTTTGTAATAGACCTAATTCGACTAATCTATTGGCAAATAGTTTAAAAATCCCAGGTCCATCCCTGCTAAAGACAGTGAGGATTTCCTATGGTAACTTACAAAACATTCTAGCACTGAAAGATAAGGGATCAGCACAACTTTCATTAATGGCTTTATGATATGAGAATAAAGAAAACACAACCATTGACCAAAGGTAGAGTGGCCGTAGAAGATTTCTGTAGTTTGCCTATCACTCATAATCAAGACTAATTATTATTAATTGTAATTCATATTAAAGATGTTTAGCAACTCTTCTGATAGAGGTTATTACATAATTCCTTTAAATCAAATTATATACAAGTAATTTCTATGATGGTTATTTGAAAAATTATTTTTAATTTCCAAAACAAAAATTACATATATATTTAAAAAATGTTCACAAGTAAATTTTTTTTTAATATGACTTGTTGAAAAATATAATATCATAGTCATTACATTGAAAACAAAACAAAAGAAAGTTGATCTTACCAGTCCCAAAACTCCATTTTCACTGTGAAGGGTAACTTTCACAGAAGGTGGAATGTAGTTGCTGGCTAACATTGGCATGCCAATACCAAGATTTACTAAACAGCCTGTTAAGGCTTCACTAAAAACTTTGAGAGAAAATTCAAGTCCTCCAATTAAAAAATCAAGTGTAAAGAATTTCTTAAAAAAGGTACTTAAATTTAAATCTGATACACAAAGTCGTATACCCAACCAAAGTTAATTTCATTTCCTCTGTGAGCATGGATAAAGCTTCACAAAAATCCACCCAGTAGTTTGGAATATATATATATATATATATTTAATCTTTCACTCATACCACTTAAAACAAACTGTTAGATGCTAGTTACTATTTAACACAGGATCTTTCCCTCAACCAGAGGCAAAGTAGTGTTTTTGGGTGGCAGGGCAAGAAATAAGAACCTATGGTAATTATTTCTTGGAGGTATTGCATATACCATTGGAAAGTCAGGAATCTACTGCATTCAAATATGCAATCTGTATGATAGTAACACATTTCAATCACAACTTATGAGTTGTCAAATAGACAGAGTTTCAGACTAACTGCACCAACTTATTCGAATTGGTCACATGCATGAATTGTTCATCTCTTTATTGATTCTTAAATCAAATTATGTCACATTTCTTCATTGTTCACTTGAGGTTGGAGATAGAATCCTACTACTACTATCACTATTGTCCTAGTCAGCATCAAACCTATTTATGAGTGCTGCCACAGGATCTTTAGGCTAGACAGATGGACTTGCCTCAACAAGAGCTGTCAAAAAGCCCATCACAAACATCTCAGAACCTTGCATATACAGGTAATTGAAGAAATAATAGTAATTGACATTGACAAGCCAAAGACTAGCAAATTTCCAGTCATGGTCAGTAGGGGGTTGGAGACACCTGCTTAAAATCTACAGGGGTCTGGTCTCAAAAACAGATACAACAATAGGGAAGAAGAGAAGGCTCACATTGTAGCCCTGTTGATTTACACAACAAGAAGTACTGTCGTTAACCATAGGGTTTCTGTTGATGTTATGGCCAGTCATAACTCAATCATGTTTTGTCTGATTTCAAAAGTATAATTTGTAATCATCATTTCTCATCATAAGCTACATCCTGTTTAGCTTTAATCAAAATCAGATAAATCCCAGATTTTTTACACCCTATCCCTGCCACCAAGATGCCTCTGATTGAAGAAGAAATCCTGTGTTAAAATAAATGCATATTATAGCTGTGAAATTAATAAATATATCAGTATTGTCAAGTCTCACTAGAAAAATAAGCAGCACTACCTTTCAAAACTGTTTTTTTATGGCTTACCCTCAAAATGGCAACTTGCATGGCTTTACTGGAATTTGGAATGTGTCAAGTGGGTGGGCTGGAAAGTTCATGACTGTGGGTGTGTTTTTTAATTGAACAGTAGAGGTACTATGATTCTGACATTGTAATGAAGTGTAAGCTATTCACTGACCAAGTCAATTACTGAAACCACTCCTACAACCATTTTACTGTGGGTTGAAGTCAACTCTTACAAAAGAGCCCAAATAAGAGACTTCAGAATAAAACAAGCCCAGAAAACTGCAAACCGCAACTCTCAAAACACTAAACCGATTTAAAAAAAAAAAAGAAGTCCAACTCCACACATTATAAGCAGAATTGGCTACATTGAAACATATATTTACCAAATCTCTATTCAGAGATCAAAATTTATTCATATATTAAAATATTCTATTTATCATGTTTTTGATTACTCATGCTGCTTATATTCCCCATAAATGTTGATAATGAACAATAAAGTTAATTACATCTTTGTCAAGGATATTAGGGCAGTTTTAAACATTTTGAGTATGATTAATTATTATTATTATTATTTTTTTCATTCTATGATGACATTTAAGGATTTAGTAATAGACGTAATACAAAAGAAATTCCATAATTTTAGTCACTAGCTTGAATAATCGTTGAAGATTTATTCTAGAGTTACAGTGGAAGATTGTTTCACTAATCTCAACTGATCAATGATTTTTATATACACACAATGACAGGATACCATACATTCCATCCTGGAACTCTAGTGCTGCTCTGCGAATTATACGTTCTCGGACTTCTTCTGCAGGATTAGTGGGGTGTTCAACATCACTCTTTGCTTTTCTTACTTTCCTTCTCTGTTGGAATTATAGTAAAATGTTACATACATACAAACAAAAGACTTAAAAGAGTTGCACTAATGAGCATGTGCAGTAGAAATGCAATATTTAAGCTAAATGTATATAACAAAATTCTGATTAACCCTCTCCACATGAGTCAAAGGCCACATCATCGCGTTTGTCGACTCGTATTCAACATTCTATTGAACTACTATTTTATGAATTTATGTCAGTAAGTTTGTTATCAAACTGTAGACTATTTTTTAAATTTTAGTATTATACATTATTTGATCTCTTAATTTAAAAGTAAATATTAAAAAACATACCTATACATTGATTTTTGTGTGTCAAGTGGTATGTCGAATGCAGCACTGATTCAAATTAGATGTTTGTGATGTCAGAAAACAAAGTCTATAGTTTTGTACAAATTAGGAACTCAAATTACTGATATGAATAAGCTAGAATATAAAATAAGCACCTCCTATCTTTTCTATTTCTTGATATATCGCTCATGTGCTGAATCAAACACAGTAACCCCGCTCACCTCTTTCCATTTTTGGAAACTCTCCCTTATATACACTTAATTCTGTCTATGACATGTGAATAACCAATTGTATGCTCAGAATGTCCTCCTAGTGGCTTTCTCAGCCATTTTCAAGTATTACGACATCATCTCGTTCTTTCAATACAAATCTTCATGGTGGTAAGGTGAGTCTTTAGTCTGCTCGAAATTTCATATTTTTTAGACCCAAATACAGCTTGATAAATTATAGTGAAATTCTATCGTATCAATATAGTAACTTATTATTTATTTTTAATGTATATATAAATCCTAAAAAATAAATATTTCGTTTCACATCCTCCACATGCGAAAATTTATAAGGCTTAGCAACCTACGACAAGTAGTAAATGAGTACACAGGTCGTAACTAGAATATATAATTGTTTGCTTTACTTCTTTATTTACTGCTCTATGTTTTAAGAAAAATAAGTTTAAGAAATTATTTGTAAATAATAAATTCACAAAACACTAGTCCACTAAAACATAGCCAAGACAGGTCATTTTGTAAAGACCAAAGATCAGATTTATATTATCGGATATGGTAACATGAGAGCACGTGCATTGCTGAAAGGTCAATATAATAAAAATAATAAATATATATAAATGTATAACGTTATGAGATTTAAGCTGTTTAGTCTAAGCATTCGTGTTTTCGTGTTATAATTTGTAGTCATTCTATAAACGAAAAAGACATAATTTATATTTATTTCCTAATATTTATAGTGGTTACAACAGAGGTCAAATCGACCAAACCCATACAGAGATTCATTAGAGAAAATAACAGATAAAGTATAAAGTTTTTTCTTAAGAAATGTATAATCTCAGTATCTGGAATTTATAAAGATTTCGCATGTGAAATTTGAAAATTTTCTGATGCATAAAAGTATTTTTAATCTTAAAATGAAAATTACTTTGCATGTTGGATAGGCAGCATGCAGAAAGAATAAAAGGCATGAGAAAAACATATCTTGTGCATGAAAGCCTTGTAATTTTTGCTGATAATCTACCAAATTTCATGAACATATGCTTACTAATTTAAAAGTTATAGCATGAAAACTATGACAAGCATAAAATGGTTACGAGGTCGGTCCCAGGGACCACGCCCGAGCTGAAATAGTTAATTACTATATTTATTTTGAGGATGTCATTTCTTTTCTATTTCATGGTCAGTTAAATGGTCAGAAACACCTAAGATTCAGGCACAGCCATTCCTAATTTGAAGTGCTGACCAGAATGTATCAGGGATATCTGAAGATTTTGATTTCATGTCAACTGAAAAGTCCAGCAATACAGAAATGAGAGTTGAAGCAAAATTTAAGGTTAAATCTACAAGTAATGCACCAGTCAACAGACCCATCTTCTATATCACTATGCTTAACCAAACAGAGGGACTGACTTCAGGGTTATAATGCTCTCAAAGCAGAAAGTATGGAGTGTGTTCAGAGGTACATCTATACTCAAACTTTGGACTTTTCAACCCACAGTCCAATATGTTAATCATTGCACCATACCCAACCTCATTTTTTGAAATGGTGCTAGTTACATATTTTGATATTAATTTACCATATGTACAAGAAACAGCTGATTACATTTTGGATAGAATGTATTAAACATACCTGATGATTTTGTTTTAATGTCATATTAAGGAGTCCAGCAGCACAGAAACAAGAGTTCAAGAAAAAATTAAGGTAAAGCACACAAGTAATTAAAAATGTATATGTAACTTTTGTACAGAGATAAGATCAGATATGATAAACGAGTCTATACAAACAACCAACTCAGTTACTCAATCTTCACTACAATCAGTAAGAAAATTGACAACAGTATGCATATGCAGCAAATAAGCATAGTACTTGATAACCCAATGAAAAAAGTAGAAGAGAAAGTTTGTAAAATCACAAGTTTTCATAAATCAAAACTTTCAGTAGAGACAAAAGCATTTATTATACACTTTTTTTAAAAATCATACTTCATTCTACATCCCATTAATCATTGTTTTTCTTCATTACTGATTAAATTTATTCAGATAATACAAATTTAAGACATTGTTGAAGTGTATCAGAGAACCTACAATAGATAATATATTGTGACAGAGCTGTATACGTTTGGTTTTAATTGATTTGCCTTTTTCTAGCTTTGGCATACCAACCTTTTTTTTCATGAAAAGTATCTAGCCACAATACTGCTAACACTGACCTTTATGGCTTGGTTTACACTTCCTGTAACATAAATACTTTTCAGTGAAACCACAGCTATGTGTGTTTCTGGCCAAATAAACATAAACATATATAACTGTATGGCAGTTATGTTTTTATAATGTGATGTTTTAAAAGAATATTTTATCACCAAGAATCTAGAAACTAGATGTACTTCCACAGAGTCCTTGAATGTGTTCTGTTTGAAGAGTAAATGAAACCAAAATTAAGAGTAACAAATATTTTTTATTTCTTGTTTTTCAAGTTCATATGTCATACTGCGTTGTAGCATATAACGTGCATAATTCTTCTTGTAATTCATGGTGTACGCACATATCACTGATGCCACAACAGTACAAATTGTAAAGTTCAAACATCCCTTATGTGATGTCATCTTAGTGTCTTCTGACTGACTAACAGACAATAAACTAGTGTATAGTGCTGCAAGTGGTTAATCTACTGATTCACTGTTGTAAGTTTCTATTAACCACACCTAATAATGTTTTATATTAAATAACCTCAAGAACATTGATGGGGTGCATGTAAGTCTCATTGGCTTTTTTTGAGCATGTTTAAATTATTTATGCACAAACTGCATGTGGATGCTTGACTTTGTTGGTTATGGTCTCTATGGTTATGGTTATGCAAGTCAGAATTAATTTAACCAAAAGTAAGAACTGATACTTCAATTAATCCCATTATTTACTGTTGGGGTTTCCAATGTATTTTACAAAGAACTTTAGTGATTTCACAAAACATTGTTGGTCACTTCTTTACAGTGTTATAGCAGACAAAAATGTGAAATTACTCAATAATACACAATATCCCACTAATAGTGAACAGAATAAAAATAAATTATTAAGTTGAGGGTTAATCATGTGAGCACTGATTAAGCATGATCATATGGATAGTGTCCTAAGCCATTGTTGGAGGTTTTATTATTATTATTAAAATATTACTCCTATCCTTAAAGCATTATGTGTCATTCAAAAATAGGTAAAACAGTATGTAAAGTAGACAAACTATTATTTTTTAATTACAAACTAATTTTTGTTAGGCATCAACATTTATAATAGGTGAAAATTTTCATTTTCAGTTAAATTGCTAAACACTTATATTGAATTGTCCTTAATTAAAGTATAGATTACTATATATTTGTAATTAGTGTTTTGTTTGTTTCTGTTTTAGCATAAAACATCACAATAGACTACCTGTACTGTGTCCACCTCAGAGATTGAGCCTTGAAGTTTGGCTTAATAAACTGGCAAGCTTACTGCTGAGCCACCAGGAGAAAAAGAGTGTTTAACTTTCTTATGTTAAGATATTAAGTTAAGTTCAAAAATGTTATGTGATACATATACACACAAGAAATAGCATTTAAGCAATTATTTTATGTAATTCACTTCTTAAGGTTTGTTACAGAATGATAAAAAAGGAATAACAGCTTCTAAAGATATGTACACTACACCAGACAACCTAACACTAATGTTTTTAACAGCTACTATACCTCAATTTTCTTTTCAAACTTTTCACCTTTGTAGATTCTGTGAACATAAATATGTGGTATGTGAATCTGTTCAGGAGGTAACTCTCCCACGTCTACTATCTCTTCAACCTGCAAGAATGATCAGTATTCATCAGATTTGGAGAAAATATAAAAATTATCAATAATATTGATGGTTTCAATAAGATTCAGAACAAAAACGGTAAAACTAAATATACATACAAAGCATAGGATAATTTTTTTGTAGCTCTAACTATATGAATATTACACACAGTTTGATGAGATTTTTTCAAAGTCACATTTATCTATTTGTGAATCAAAACCAAGAGGCAAATAAAAATTTTGTCATAATCAGTAACGTATTTACTCTCTGTATTAAATAAAATAACAAAAAAAAATGTCTTAATATCTTGTCTAGATGCAGAACACATTAGACTGTGTAAACGAAAATATTTATTGCTCTTGGAACAAGCTCCAAATACAGGTATAGAAAGAATCAGTATTCTTACTTCAGCTATTGTAGTCTTTGCTGCTTTACACATAGGAGGGTTAAAATTTGATGCTGATTTCCTGAAAAAGAAATAGATAGATTAATATCCAACTAATGAAACAATGCATTCTAACTATTATAAATAATAATGTAAGAAAAGTATACTTAATTAGCTATAGTCATTATCAATAACAGATTGCTCTAAGCAGGTAGCTTTCTTTGATTGGAAGTTAATATTAAATACAGTAATTTTGGTACAGTAGTTAAATCAGATATATCAAAACATTTAACAATACCAATAATGATTTATGTAATAAATAAATACAAAATGTGCATGAATATATATATATATATATATACAAGTGTTTGTGTGTCTTCATTTTAATGAAATGTCACAAAACAAAAGCATGATAGTAAACATAAAAAAACACAAACAACTGGTAGCTTGCAGCCTGCATCCAACATGAGATAGAATTATTCTACCAACTTTACTTTAATATTTTTGTGTGATTGGTTTGTTTCATAGCTTAAACATTAACATTAACATTCAACACATCTGTCATATGGTTTGTTTTATTGCATTGCAAAAAGAACTACTGAATGAAATTCTTTGAAACTTAAGATAAACTATCTATAGATTATGTAGCTTCTAGAAAGTAAAATGGTATGTTTATATATGATATTCTTATGAATTCTAGCCTTTGTAAATTCACAAAGATTTCTTTATGAAATGTCTTAAGATACAATTGAAAATAGTTATCTTCTTGTAGATTTTATTTCATACATTCTTGTAAAGTTTTCCAATCAAGTTTTTATTTTATAAAACTGTAGTTTTTGTTTTTGTTCAGAAAATACATTCAGTTTCAAGTGTTTACTATCACTGATGTACAATAAAAATATCTTCTTTACCACAACAAAATTACATGCCAAGTTACTGTTTTTAGTTGTTAATCAGAAAGTTCCATTAAATCACACTTCAAAAGTCTTAAACCTGTTTAATATTCATTTATATGTATATCTTTTACATTTTTTTTCCAGTGATTTTTTTTTTGCTCATCCAAGCAGTTACTTAGGCTGATAAAGCCCAATGTAAATATGACCTAACAAACAGCAGCCTTGTCAGTGAAAGGAAACTTGACATAGCTGTCTACAAAATGATCTATCTAAACCTAACAATTCTCAACCTGACCTTTTCCTACTATACTGTAATATCACAATTCAAATAAAATATAAACTGATAAAGCAAGCTTCTTGCTAGCTTTAAAAAAGTCAGGACTGTTATTCACAAATATATTTTATTTTATTAACATATCACCAAGCTAAACTTTTAACACTTTATTCTGAGTCTCTGCTGAACTGGAAGTCATATTGGTTTATGTAATTGAAAAAAAGAAAAAAAAAAAGAGCTTTCATAACATGTCTAGATCACTAAGCCCATGATTTCACAAAGCTGAAATGTAGGCAATTTACATGAGAACAGAAGTTACTAAACAGTGATTGGGTAAAATAAAAAAAATTAGACTTGTTTTCAAGCTACAAGGTTCATCTTGGTGTCATCTTGCTCAAACCAATTTTGACTTTTCTCCCACGGGCATTATACTCAGAAAAAATTCTGGAAGTTGACAAATACTAATGTTTTGATTTAAAGAACTTGAAATCAACATAAAATCCAAATTTTGTTTTTTTATACATTTTTAAGTATAAAATTAAATATAAACTTTTTATTGAATAAATTTCAACCTGAAATGTTTTTAAAAAATGTGTGGAAGAATGACTATAAGTGTTTCTCTACATAATGCTTGACACAATGTTTCAATTTTGCTCCTAGGCAACAGATGCACCTTACAAGGTGCCAAAAGGTTAATTAAAGTGATAATTAACAACTATAAGACATTGCTAATTCAACTTAGACTCTCATTTAGCAGAATAAAATACTGTTAAATAATCTCATTGTTTGTTCAGCATATTTCTTGAGTTACAAAACATTAAAACTAATGATTACTTGCCTAAAAAGTAGATTTCCAGCTTTGTCTGCTTTCCAGGCTTTTATCAAAGCAAAATCTCCAGTGATGGCTTCTTCCATCACATAGTGACGTCCATTGAAAATTCTTTCCTGAAAATAAATGTAAACACTTGTTTTCAAGGTGGTATACACAGGAAAATAAGATTTCCAAATTCCTTGGCCATAGGAAAACATAGAACATCAATTGATAAAGTTAATATCACTTGAGCCTATCCACACACATTAATAGCTCCCAAGGCTCTGTGGTTTACTTATCCAAGTCTTTGAAATAACTCATGTAACAAGTTTCTAAAGTGAAAGCAAATAGCACAATGAAAACTTTTAAATAATGAGGAAAATTACTAGTAAGAAAATAAAAGGGAATTAGTAATCTACAAAGCAACAAATAAAATAGATACAGTAATTACTAGGACCTTAGAAGCTTAAATTAAGGGTGAATTACAAGTTAATTATGTAAAGAAATCTATTCAATGAATGCAAAATGTTTTTTCTTGTTTAGAAATGTAGAATTATCTATACTGAAACTACAAAATATTATGTAAAAAACCTTTAAATATGCACCCAGTACAAACATACGATTCTCATTCAGTACTAGCTTTATATAACTCCTTAGTTTCACAAGGTTTTGACCCTTCTACAAACAAGTTACATTCTCAAATTTTACCTAACTGAACAAAATATACTTTGCTGTTTATTAGTTTCCCTAAGCAAGTACCTCTTTTCTTTCACTAGGGATGGCTATTGTTCCATCTGGGTTGTGCTTTAATGGAGCTCCGCCTTCATGGATCATAGTACCATAACCTGTTGATGTGTAAAAAGCTGGGATACCAGCACCTCCAGCTCTGATCCTTTCTGCAAGGGTACCCTACAACATACAACAATATTTTTGTTAAAACTCAGTCTTTGTTAAACCTACTGTGAAAATACTAATAATAATCCAGGAAAAATTATATTTATAAAAAACTTGTTCTTTAACTGTTGTAAAACTTTTTTTTTCAGATTATCAACAATACACAGTAGCAGAACACAAGTGTACCATAGTAAAATTACTTGTTTAGGAAATAAAAAAATTATGAACAAGTCTTTATAAAAATAAAGAAACAGACTTTTGAAATCTTACAGCAAGGATATTCAACCTCATTGGTTTTACCAACTTTCAAAATTGTAACAAATTTACAATATATTGGTGGTTCATACAAAAGAACAACAGTGTTCAGCAGTTATTAAGTACCTATTTTAAAACAGTATTAGAATAACGAGAAAGGTTTTTTATAATTTTTCATAAATTTGTACATTAAAGTATGTTGTTCAAAATAACAATAGCTCATTATATTTCACTGGGAATATTAAACCTGAGAAAAACCTGAAGAGAAACATACTTGAGGAACAAACTCCAATTCCAACTCTCCAGTTAAATACTGGCGAGCAAACTCTGCATTTTCACCAACATAAGAGGAGATCATCCTCTTCACCTGTATGAAAAAATATTACAGCTTTACAGACAAGGTTGATTTTTAATATTTGCTAAACAATGGTAATATTATGGGTTAAACACTTACTCATGCATCTAATGTTTGAAAACTTTTTTTACTTGCACCAGTAATAAGTAATTAAAAGATAACTTCAAGGGCAAGGTTCATTTGTACCACTCTTATTTTTTTTAATAAAGTGTAGTGAAAAATACATTCAATATTTGAAAATCCTCTTCAATGATTTTTTCAATATGATTAATAACTATCTCATGAAAACAATATCTGCATATATATTGTATTACCACATGTACATGGATATGCAAATTTTTACATTTATACACTTCAACATTAGTCAATGGTTGTCATGTGACTCTGCTCCTCACTACCAGATAATATTACTCTAAAAAAAAAGGCATTAAACTTTTGCAGTTTTCTTTAGATGTAACATGTTATCACACACTTTAAAGTGGATTTTTTGATACAGCAGTGAAATATTAAACACAAAATTCAAATGATAATGAAATCACCTCCACTCTAGACCTACCACTGGTGCCCATATGACCCCTATTGGTTTATTAAAAAACATCTGTAAATGCATTTTGGTCCGTTTTTTTTTTTAGTTACACGGTTTCTAATAATATATGTTACATAAAAAAATGTAAATAAAAATACCATCAATGACGTAAATAATTAATTCCACTAATTACTGTTGGGGTCCCTTTATGCATTTTATGTAGAAAATGACTGATATTGCTCAGTGTTTTGATCAGTTCATTACTTTACACTGAGTGTCCTAAAATGGAAAATATTATTATTCAACATGATGCAGTGTGTGAAGCTACAAGTAATGAATGGTATAAAAAGAAATCAGTGGAATTTGAAGGACACCCTAGTTCACTATATACAGGTTAAATGAAACAAGACTTTTCAAAAACTTGTCTTCAGGGTATCATTTACAAGGATAATTTCTTTCACACCTTATTCTAAATACCATTCATAACCAAAATCACAGCATATGAACAGGAAAGAAAACTAGTTGGTTTTGAACTTCATCACAATGAATAACTCATAGAAATAGTTATCTGTACATTTTTGAACTAGTACCTGTCTAGTCTGAAGAAGTATACCCAAGCCGAAGGTATCAATACCTGCATTATTGCTCACTATTACAAGATCAGTTGCTCCATTTGCTTGAAGAGCATTAATCAAGTTTTCTGGTATCCCACACAGGCCAAATCCTAAAAGAATAATAATGATAGACTATAAACAAGATTGATAAGAGAGACAAAATTTAGTTATTACCACACACATAAATTAGTTTAACTTTTATTTAGGATAAAAAATAAAGCAATTTCCAGTTTAGAACATGTAGCATTTGATGTCTAGCACATTTACACATTTTAAAATTGTTTAAATATCAAAGTTTATATTTTTGAAAGCCAACATACACTTCGTTTATTTTTATATATTTTTTCTTAGCTTCCTGTGGAAATTTCAAAATATTTGTAAGATAATATGATGTGCAAGAACAATGAACAAACAAAAATGACTGTTATGTATCAATATCCTTTAATTAAATGTTATTTTTAATGCATTCAAATTAAAAAGTTTGAAAGTGGAAAAAGCTTCACTTAATGTCACAAGATATTTATCATTAGAAGCAACTAATCTGTGGACTGTACTATAATTACATCTCTATATTGGAAACATAGCTGACTTTAACTACATGTTTAAAACAAGTTACAGTAAATACACAGCATAGTTATTACACACATAAAATATGCATCCTGAGTAGTGATATGTACCTGCAGTACAAAATGTGTTTGTTTGTTACTTTTTCAACCTGTAAACACATGGCACTCCATATTCAGCATTTAGCTTACTTAACTTTTATCCTAATAAGGCTACCAAAAACAACAAAAAAATTCTAATCTATAACATTAATGAGAAAAGAAAGTTGATCTATATAACTATGCAAATAACATTAATTTACAGCTAACACACACACATACATACATATACACAAAAGCATACATCGCACTTGTTCCAGCAATTATTTTAATTGTCTATCCTATTAGTTAAAATAAATTATCAAATTATTTTTATACAGTGTATGTACGTATGTGTGTATGTATAAATAACTTTACTTAAAACTTTGTTGATGAAACCAATACAGTTGTGTTAGCCAAGGATTAATCAAATAAGTCAGAGATCAGGGTGAAAACAACAAAAAACAAATATTTGAATATTGGTAGTCAGTGAAGATTACAAATGATTCATATCTTTGGAACATGAAGGCAGATTTAATAGTCCTAGGTGAGGGCTTGGACATACACAGTAGTATAAAGGTTTTTCATATCTGAGATATTTAATGATGAACAGTTAAAATTCTGTAAAATTGAGTGAAGGTGATTTTTTTGTTTACAGGCCATTGTTTTCAATTCTGTAAATTTGTTTCAGTTTCTTCAGGTACACTTTGGTAGCATAAACTTACATAATGATAAACAACATAGAAAACATTGAAATGCTTGTTTACGTAACTAGGTCAACACAACTTTCACAGTACGTTAACACAGAATTACACACTAATAGTATCTTTTCAAAAATATGTTTTCATTTATTCTTGTTTTAGCATCAATTATTATTCAGTATTTTATGATGTTGCTGGTATCAAATAATCATAATACCCAGCACTTCATTCATCGTCCAATATATATTTCAGTTATCTGACACCTTAGATAAAAATAATACCATGCAACACAAGCAGTACAAAACCTACAAATATACCTCCAACAAGAAGCTTTGCTCCATCAGAAATGTCTTTGACTGCATCCTGTGGGTTGTTGTATAATTCCGCTTTTCTTCTAGGACTTGTAGAAAAACAGCCAACAGAACTCTAAACCACATGTTTACATTTTAATCATGCTCCTTAAATAATGTTGCATTATGAAAAATTCAAAAATCATTCTTGTTTAATATTCATTCTAATTGTTTAAGTAGTACAATGAAAATGTAATTTCTTGAAACAAAAATGAATGGGTGCTTTGAATAATGGTCTCACTTGTATCATTGCAACTCCATTTCAGAGGCCTATAAATCCAAATATTTTATTCAGGTCTTTGTCTAGAAATTTTTCTCTGATAAAAAAAACATCTTTCTAAATGTCTCTTTCATTTAAGTGATAATTTTGATTAAGTAGATTTACTACGTTAATAATTCTCAATATTTTAAATCAAAATTTAAAAGTTTTTGCAATGAGGAGTAAAAGCAATACTGAGATTTTAAAGTTAATTGTTTTCAGTCAGGAGTCTCCTATAATTTATACTTCTTTCTTTGAAAAAAAATTAATGAAGGATTTTTGAGTATGTGCAGGGTTTATCTTTGATAATAGTATTGTAGATTTATACAATAGAATAACCTATAATATTTAGTAACTATCTGTGAAAGTTCATTGTCAGGAATTACAAAATCTGAAATGAATCAAAAAATATATTTGCTAAACAGTTGATGTCTAGTTTGAATAACTCTTAACACCTTTTCTTTTGTATGTATATATATTTTTTAATATGTTATCATCACTAATCAGCTTTTCTGATCTTTATAGTACATTATTGCATCGTATCAATGGAAGCGCCAATATCACTAAAACTACTTCAAACCCACATTCTAAAAGTAGAGTTAAAAGTTTATGTACCTTATGTCAATGCTTTAAAAAATAATTGCTTACTGTAAAATAATCATGAATATAATTTTGTTGCATTTGGAATACATACTTTAATTTTTAAATTAAAATTCCTTAGTATATAGTTTTACAAGAGAACAGGATTAAAAATGGCAAATATATATAGAAACTTCCACATGTGAAACATTCCAAATCCTAACAACTATATTAGTATTATCTACAGTACATAAAGTAACAACATAAAATAAATACCCCCCCCCCAAAAAAAAAAACAATTAATCAAGAAAATCACAAATAGGCCTACATGCTTTAATGTTAGGGAGATTTGTTAATTGTAATGTTAAACAGCCAGCTTGATGAACACTGGTATTGAACAAAAGGCCTCATCAGCATTGGATATAGCAGATGTAGGGTGGTACATATATCATAGTATCCTTTGTTTCCACTCATAGGTTCTTAGAACTTATAAATTAGAAAAACAAAATCTTAATACATTTTGCCTTGTGGATTTTAATTAAAGTTGTTCCTATCTTGTTCTTCATTTCTTTTCTTAAGTTTTACTTTAAAATTAATATGAAAAATTGTACTTCGACTTAAAATTTGGTCTGGAGTCTGAAGGAGAAAATAACCATTCAAGACAAAACTTTCATAGGACATATTGAAATACTTTCAGGATTAAATTGTAAGTTCAGTAGGTTTCACATTTAAAATATTAAAACAAGCATCTATTTTTCATGTGCTAATTTTAAGACACACTTCTTCACCCATGTTAAATGTATATATGTTCCAGTGAATGTGTATATTTATGAAATATAGATATTTATCAGTCATTATGAACTTTAACTAGTGCTTGGAGAATGTTTGTGTATTTCCTTTTTAAAAATAAAGTTTCTCAGATTAACCAGTCAATGTGAATTTTATTCATTGGTAATTATGCATGTTAACTAGATAATGTAAAAAATTCTTTCATAGACTCTTAAATTATGCACATTCACCAATGTTATTGGTTTTTAATATTATGCATCATACCTTTAGAATAAACAAAATCTCCAGTAAAGCACATCCACCATAACGCATATATACTACATTAATTCACATTGTTAATTTGTTTGTCCATGAATTCCTTCTAAGTTCTAGTTCTACAGTTTTGGAGCTAAAAGGCCCAAACATGGCAGGCAGACTCAGGGTGGCCTGGGGTAAGAAGCTGTCCTTTCTACATGGCATAGCCCTTCCCATTTTTTATTTGAAAGAGTACCAAATGGGGATAAAATATTCCCAGATGATCACCCACATCCAAGTACTTGTATCTAGCATCAGATTTTGTGATTATTATCCCCCCACTTCCAAATAAATAAATCAGGGTGTCATTTCCGAAGCTGTGTTCACACTCAAGCTGTGTAGGGGACCAAACTTGGCGGATATGTTTTGGTAGTAACATTAACAGTCAGGTGTCCCAACATTTATTTTTTATTATTTATTAACTATAGCAGAAATTGGGGATAATAGAGGAGATTGATTGGTACACTAGGGCCTCTGTGAATGACGCGCAGTGGAGCGTGTAAAGTTTATGTTTGTACAACGAAACTTTCATTGAAAATATTATCACGTAACAGCAGTAAGAAAGAAATATACAAGTTACAACTTACATTTACAACCAATACACAGTCCCATGAATGAGTTCTGAAAATGGATATTTCATTGCATTATAATCAATAAAGCTCTCTTTATTCTTATTTTCTTACCTTTGATAAAGATAAACAAAATCTTAAGTCAGTATATCCAGGTACAAGATTCTCCGCAAACGTTTTTATTAGAGCTCGTCCAGCTTTGGCCACAAACATAGCCATGTTACTTCCAGGATCCAGTGCAATATCGGCTTTCAGCCCTCATGCGGTGGTATATACAATTTAGATACTTTACACTCACACATACACATATGATAAGAAGTGGCTCAACGACAAGTCTATGGACTTATGACGCTAAAAATCAAGTTTCGAGATCCGTGGTTGGCACAAATAGCTCATTGTGTAGCTCTGCGCTTATCACCAAATAAACACGTACCCAAAAGTTACAAGAACGTTATCAATTAACATCAGTGCATAGCTTTGGTTTGGTTTGTTGTGAATTTCGTGCAAAGCTACACGAGGGCTATCTGCGACAGCCGTTCCTAGTTCAGCAGTGAAAGACTAGAGGGAAGGCAGTTAATCCTCACCACCCATCGCCAACTCTTGGGCTACTCTTTTACCAACGAATAGTAGGATTGACCGTCATATTATAACGAAAGGGCGAGCAAGTTTGGTGGGACGGGGATTCGAATCCGCGACCCTCAGATTGCGAGTCAAGCGCCCTAACCACCTGGCCTTGCCGGGCCCAGTGCATAGGTCTATAATGCTTAAATTATAACTTTTTCAGGCTTTTCTTAACTATATGGTCTTCCAAATCAATCATCAGATTTAAAATATATATATACCGCAGCAAAAGTGCACAGAAGTATACAACATAATTTCAATACAGTTGTGTCTTATCACAATATTACTTTTGGAATTAAAGTTTAGATAAACGACCTTTACACTCCAGATATATATATATATATATATATGTTTTTTATTACTACCAACGTCCAAGCATTACTTTTGGAAACAAAATTTTCAATGTTTTGATTTAGATGCTTGTTAGAGAGCGCATGACTGTATGACGTCAAAAGTTCATTTAGTGAGTAGAAGGCGAGTATAATATATGTACAAGATAACGAAAGGTAATGATTTACTGTGAAGCAGTCAATGAATCTGCTGCAAATTTATGAGTTTAGTGACAAAAAATTGTTCACAGTTTTGTGTTAAAAGTTAGATCTATCGTATCTATTCATTTCATTTAACTGGAAGCAAAGAAATTCTTTAACTAAGTTTATTTTGTAAGTTTTATGTAGGCATTAGTCTTGGAATTTCTACAGCAATGGTATTTATAAACTTAGGCCTATAACAAGCGTAAAAGTGAATGTAGCTTGTAGCAAACATTATAGGTGAACTAAATTCGTTAGATTTACGTGGACTGAGCTTCGCATTATTTTGATAAATAATCCAAAAGAGCCCATTCAACATAGAACACGTTGCAACACATATTACAGAAGTGGGATTATTTTGTTGAAAATATAACAGAAATTTGACTAAATTTCAAGAAAGCAACCCTATCACAAAGCAAGATCAAAAGTTTATTAGAAATGATAAAATAATTAAAAGCAGGTTAAGAGGAAAGATACAGAAGAGTTAAAAAAAAAGAATATATAAAAAGAAAGAGACAGAAAATTAAAAGTACATGTGAAACAAAAGAGAAAATTAAATTGTTACGTCTCCGTTTGTTAATTGATTTTTCCGTAACTTCGTTCCGACGAAACTTTGACGAAACAAGTCTTTC